GCTGGGACCAGCCACTGCACTTCAGTCTGGGCGACAGAGTGAGACTCCAACTCAAAAAAACCCCCCAAAAAACAAATTTTCTGATGGGGCATGGTTGCTCACGACTCTCAGCAATTTGGGAGACTGAAGCGGGAGGATTGCTTGAGCCCAGGAATTTGAGGCCAGCCTGGGCAACACTGAGATCTTGTCTGTACAAAAAATTTTTAAAAATAGGCTGGGCTTGGTGACTCAGTCTGTAATTCCAGCACTTTGGGAGGCCAAGACAAGTGGATTGCCCGAGCCCATGAGTTCAGACCAGCCTGGGCAACATGGTGAGACCTCTCTACAGTAAATCAAAAAATTAACTGGGTGAGACTCCCAACTCAAAAAAAAAAATAGTTGAGCATGGTGGTGTGTGCTTGTAGTCACAGCTACTCAGGAGGCTGATGCTGTGGTGAGCCAAGCCATGATCGTGCTACTGCACTTCAGCCTGGGCAACAGAGAAAGCCTGACTCAAAAACAAATTTTCCACGTTTCTTCAATGCCAATGGGATAAATCTCAACTTTTTTTTCTTTTTTTTTTTGAGTTGGAGTCTCACTGTCGCCCAAACTGGAGTGCAGTGGCCGCTCCCGGCCACCGCAGCCTCGAACTGCTGAGCTCCGGCGATCCTTCCACCTCAGCCTTCCGAGTAGCCGGAACTACAGGTGCATGCTACCACCCCCGGCTAATTTTTTGATTTATTGTAGAGATGAGGTCTCGCCTGCCCAGACGGGTCTCGAACCCGCGGGCTCAGGCAATTCACTCACCTCAACCTCCCAAAGGCACGGGATTACAGGCTGAGCCACGAGCCCAGCTCATTTCTTCCTATTAACCAAGCTCAAGCTACTGGACACACAACTCCCTCTGCTTGAAACACTCCTACCACTCTTGCCCTTTGCTTATGCAGGTTTTCATTTCTCAAATGCCAATATAGTCTATGGCCATACCACCCTGAACACATCCGGTTCTGTCAAATGCCATTATAGCCATCACGTCTGTGAAGCCTTCCTTGACTCCTCAAATTGAGGCTATGTTCCCCCCCTAAGTGTTTCCTCTACAACCTTGCTCAGAGCACTTATTCCCATCTGCTGGGATCACCTAGGGTTTGGAAGGCCCCCCCACTCGCCAAAAGCTCCAGGAAGTCAGGCCATGGCCACCTTGTTCATGAATCTGCAGTGCTTAACACACTGGCAGGTAATTGGTGCTCTATAAATATTTGCAATATCAGTGAGTGAATCAGGAAATAACAGTATAGCTTACCAAAAAATGATCTTTATGATGGATGTGGCCTGCTCCATAAGTGGTGGGCAACCAGCAACAGTAGGAATTCCATGTCACCGCCCAAAAAAATGCTCCTTGGGTCACATGGTGGCATTAATACTGTGACTTTGAGCTGTTTTATTTCACCTCTTACCAACTGCCAGGGCAGCACAGTTTTCCCTTTAGCTTTAAGTGTGTCCATGAGTTGACCAAAACAACAGAAGCAGGCAGAAAAGCAATGGGACCCTAGAAAACCCTTGTTCTGGGACGAGCCTCTTCCAGTTGCCCAATCCTGGATCCAGGCAAAAATAGACTCATTGTCAAGGGCTCCTGCAGACATGAACTGTTTTGAATGCTCTGGAATACAGCTCACAAAACCCATCACTCTTGCTAAGCGAAACCTCACCTGAATATCCCCTGGTAAAAGCTCAGTGGCACGTGCCACAGATGAGGCTGCTGCTGCCCCCTGGTGGCCTAAAAATGCAGGTTCCCATCCCCACCCCGTGTGTGTGTGTGTGTGTGTGTGTGTGTGTGTGTGTGTGTGTGTGAGAGAGAAAGAGAGGAGAGAGATGGGGACGTTTATGGTACATGCACGGGGAAAGAAACTGAGAGGACAGAGTGCCTCATAGTTGCTTTTTCCCTTTTTATTAAAAATAAACCCAAACACTTTATGTATCATACAAAAGTTTCGTTCGCTGGTGGCAGCCACGGGAAAGACTGGACCCGAAGAGCTGCTTCTCCACCTCCCCTCCAGGGTACTGGGTCCCAGGAAGCAGTGGCTGGGGCCGCGAGACCGCCCACAAAGACTGCTCACTCTGGAAACAGCCAGCTGGGGGTGGGGGGCTGTTCGGGGACAGCTTGCCCCACCCCACCCAATGGCAAAGGTTAGATACTCGAAAGTGCCTCTTTAGTGCCAAGATAAACTAACAAGTGGAGTGAAATGGAAACCCCTGTGATTCCTTTATTTCCCACGGCCTGGGATTTGAGTTTTTCTTCCACCCCCGAGTCCTTTCTCCTACAGATGGGGGTGGGAAACTGTTCACCCTGAGAGACTCTGGTCTCTCCTGGCATCTGAGGCCAAAATTTCACTCCAGCCCAAGCCTTTTCTCATCTGTTATTCTGTGGCCCAGGACTACCCAGCCCCATGACCCAAGGTGTGTCCTGTTCACTCAAAAAGAGGTGAGGGCAAAAACATGCCTCTCGCGGCCCTCTCTGCCTGAACCTGTGCCCTGCTATCGCCTCGGCTTTTCAGGACCTTGGGAACAGAATGACCCACGACCATCCCTCTTCCCCAGCTCTGTCACTCCCTGACTGCTGCGCACTCCTGAGCCTTAACACCCCTGGGGCACCCCCAGACCCCTGTTCCAATAGGGGCCTGGTAGTGATGTGGTGGAGGCGGGGGAGGGATGGGGTGTTGGTTGGAGCCTGGTTTTCCCCAGGGGTGGGGCAGTACTCATGCTGGTATAGACTGCTTGGCAGGGCCAGGGGCAGGTGAGGGGAGGGTGGGGCATGCGGTGGAAGGGCACAGCCTGCCTGAGCCCCTCAGTCCCAGCCGTTGTCCTTCACCATGTGTGACATTTCAATGATGTACTTCCCTTCCTTGTATTTCTGGCTCGTCTCAAAAGCTTGTTCCTGGCGGAGAGGGAAGCAATGACTGTAGAACAGAGCAGCTCCCCTCTGGACCTCACTACCCCGAGGGTCCCCCACCTGGCCCAACCCCCTTAACCAGCTCCCTCTTCCTTCTTCAGATCATGCAAAGTTCTGACGTGTGGTCACTGTGGCTTGGAGGGCCTCAGCGGTTGTCCACGGAAGAGGGTGACCCTCTTCCGATACTTACATATTTCCAGCCCAGTGTGGTTTTGCAGCTCTCGCAGAAAATGTCGGCTACCGAGTGGAGGCCCGTGAGCAGGAGACGCTGTTCTGCTGGGCCGCAACCCACGTTGACCCTGTCTCGGGAAACAGGAAGGACCCAGGACCCAGTGGGGTCACTCTGTCAGTCCAGCCCCCAAACATCCCAAAGGAACATCCATCTGGAGAGAACTGTCAGCCCGTGCCTTTGGCAGTCCACCCCTTTATAGCTAGTGTCTGGGCCTTCTTTTTCAGTTATGAAAAAGAACGCTATGATTTCAGTTCTGCCCAGACTCCCCACAAGAGAACAGCAGATTGATTTTCTGAACCTCTTTGCCAGAGGAAGAGTATTCACATACATACACACAGGCACATGCACAAGGAAAAAGGTAGACTTACACAGAGTTAAACAGGTAGGCTCGGCCATGGCTCCCTTGGAAGGACTGTGGAGACACAAGACAGACAGTGACTGCCAGGAAGTCCTCAGCTGCCCTGCCTGGGTCCCCGCAGGGGCATGGGGGAGAGAGGAGGGACTTTGCTGCATCCCCCCACCCCTGTCATGCTTGGGAGAAAGGAGGTGAGTGGCAGGTTCTCCCCCCCAGCATACCTTGGAAATAAGCTCATCGTGTTTGGCCAAGTGTGCACGGCAGTGCACACAGCTGTAAGTTCGGTGGCAGCGGGGCAGGTAGCTGCGGAAAGTCTTGGTAGGGAGGCAGGTGGGGCCCGGGCCAGGGTCACAGCTGGGCATGACTGGCTGGAGGACAATGCCCTGGCGGGCAGGAGGGGCTGGCGCCGTGCAGCCCCCACACAGACGGTCGCAGGTGAAGCAGCGGAGCAAGTTGGCTAGAGCCGTGTTTCAGGGCAGGAAGGATGTGGGGGGGCTGCCCGGCTAGGGCCCCCCCAGACGAGAACCAGATAGAAATAGAAGTCACCTGGGAAGAGGGGAAGGTGCATCAGGAGAGCTGTGACCTCACAGGGTCCCCTCCCGAGGGGAAATAGGAGAAAGGGCTCAGCCCTTGCCCCTACCTCCTCCATCACCATCAAGTCCCCACCCCCCAGCATCCAGTGGCCTTGTCTCCCCATCTCCTGGATTCCCATCCTACTCTGGCAAGCCCGGCAGTGGTTCCGGGTTTCTGGCGCCACAGCCAGGGAGCCGGTGTCTCTGTCTCCTGGGGCGGCAGCAGGCTCCACCATTTTCCACAGAGAGCAGCCCGCGGGCACAGACGCTGCCATGGGAGCAATATCATCTGCAAGTGCCCTCTCCTTGGTTTTCAGCTGTTTCGTGAGGCTCTGCTTAGTGCAGGCATTGGTAGGCATCGTGTCTCTGGGGCTCAGGGCCTTTGAAAAGTTGGGGATGCCTGGAGGTTTCTCTTTCTCAGCCTTTGTTTGCAATACAATTGGTCTTTTATACATTCTGTAGGTGAGGGAAGAGGAGCATGCCTGCAAGTACACACAGCCTGCCTCAGCCCTTTCCTGGGGCCAGTCTCTTACACTCGGACTGTTCACTAGAACTTTATGGATGTCTCCTCTGGCTCCAAAGACCTCACATGTGTGGCCACCTGTTCCCCAATCAGAAGAAGCACCTGGCTGTCTTCCCTGCCTCGCTTGGTCTCTCTCTCTCACACACACACACTCTCTCTTTCTCAATTATTCTTTATTGAGTGTTGCCTTATCCCTCAGTTAAAGACTTTGGCAGAAAATACCTTTCCTTCAGTCAAATCTGATAGCTGGTGCCAAAGGCAAATGAGTAACAGGGCAGGGCAGTATGGTACAGTAAAAGCCCAGGGCCACAATGGATGGGGGGGGCGGGGCAGAAAGAGTCTCTCATTTTTAAAGGATGTGCTTGGGGCCTGAAGCAGAAAATATTTCCTTCTACCTTCTCCCAGAGGCAGGGACAAACAGCAGTGACTCTGTGGGTGACTGAAGATGCGGTAATTGCTGGGTTCTGATTAGGGATCTTGAGAAAGGTGTTGGCATCTGCCCACGCACCAGCCTCAGCGCGGTTGGGGGTGCTGGAGACAGAGGATAAGAAGGGAGGTGTCCCCTGCTGGCTCCGATAAGCAGGTGAGCTGCTGCCTTCTGCATGGGGCCTTCTGGCCTGGCCCGTTCAGCCTAAGTCTGGTTCAGAGATGCCAGCTGGGTGCTCTGGCAATGCCAGACCACTGAGTAGAGAAGAGGCAGTGCTGGTTCCCGCTAGTCAGGGCACACGGGCTCTCCTCATCCTGTCCTCTGCGGTGGCCACAAGCACCCCGGCTGCTCCACTCTCTCCCAAGGCCGCCAGGCAGTCTCTCCGCAAACCCCCCATAGAGACCATCTTCGTGTCAGGTCCTCTCCCCTTGTCCAGCCCGGGAAGACACTGTGGGCTGAGTTCAGGGTGACATTGGCTCCAGCCGCAGGAGACAGGCCTTTCTCACTAGGTGACCACCGTTCCGCGTCCACTTCACAAGTCTGCCTTCAACTTTGCCTGCAAGTTCCCCTCTGACACGCACCACCTTGAAACACCTCCTTCAAGGGGCTGAGGGAACAGGGGGTGGCTCAGGTCCCCGATATTGGGCTCCTTCCCCAGCCTCGGTTCGTCATGCCTCCCCTCCCTCTCCCCTGCTTCCCCGTCTAGCCAAGCAGAGGCTGCACAGCAGAGGCTGCACAGAAGACCAGAGAATCCTGGGGAGTGGGGTGGGGGGAGCAGGGGTCATTTCTTCCCCATCTCAGATCGCGGGAAGAAGCAAGTTGGGCAAATGACTGGGGAAAAAACAAAGGCAAGCCGAGTGCCGGGGAGAGGATGTTCCCCCAAAGTGAAAGGGAGCTTGGACTGTGGGGGGGGGGAGAGGGAGGGCTGGTGGGGGGACTGACAACTGATAGCAGAGGCGCCCAGGCAGAGGCTTCAGGAACCAGGTGCAAATTCCGTGCCTCTCCAGGAGGGGAAAAAAACGGGGGTGGGGGGGTGGGGGAGACACCTGCTCACAATGGCTTTTCTCATCTGCTCTGAGGTTTCAGCCCCCCCCCAGGCTGGCATCCTGGGTATGGTATGGTCCAAATAATTCGCAGCACAGCCAGCTCCCAGGGCGGACTTTGGGGGTCTGCACCAGCCGCAAAACAATAAACAGTGATGCCTGATGGTGCAGCCAAAGTTGCCGGGAAATAAGTGCAGGAGTCGTCAGAGCTTGGAGAGGGATGAAGGAGCCGAGAGAGCGGAGCGGAGGCAGCGGGGAGGGGGAAGGGAGGACAAAGGGTGGATGAATAATGCTTTTGCAAAGGGGAGAAAGCAACACGCAGCAGGAGGAGGAAATTTGCAAAAGGGAAAAAAATTCATTTGGAGAAGGGCTGCCCCCTCACCTTGAGGTCTGCTCCAGAGATCTCCGTCTATCTCTCTCTCTCTCTCTCTCTCTCTCTCTCAATCTCTCTGCTCACTCTTCTCTCTTCTCTTTCCGCTCCTTCAATTGGGAAGGGGATGGGGCAGGGGCGGGTAGTCGGGGGCTCAAGAATGGGGCTGCAAAGCTGGCCAGCTGCTGGGGGGCCAGAGGTTGTCTCTCGTTCTGTACCTCGATCTGTGGGTGAATGTGGCTGTGTGTTGTGGAACTGCATCATAACACTGTGAGTCATCCATCCCCCCACCCCCCCTCACCTCCCACGTCAGAGCAGGGCTGGGAGACACAGGAGGCGGGTCGGGAGGAAGGGAGGGGGCAGGCATCGAGGGACGCGCTGGGGGAGTGATGCCGGGGAGTCCGGGCGGAAGGACTGGGCGTGGCGGTGGGCGAGAGGAGAGGCAGGTTGTTAAGGAGGGAGGCGGTGTGCCCAGGGAGGTGGAAGGAACCTGGGGGAAGGACAGGGCTGGGCAAGGATGGAGTAAGGGTGGCAGGGCTGGAGAAAAGGAGGTGGCAAGGCTGGTGAAGCAAGAGATGGATGAAAAAGGGAGGCGGCACACACACATCCAAGATGATACATTTTTCTCTTTCAGCTTGGATACCAGCCCTGAAGCAGGGAAAAGGCGAATGTACTAATTGTCATGGATGGCAAACTGTGCCCCCAAACTTATACTGGGTAATTTCAAACCTCAAAGCTTCAGTTTAATAGCCCTGAAGGAGTCATAGACTAAATATGACAAACCTCTTATTGACTGCCTCTCAATTACCTGTGCTTCACGAATACAGACTCCTACATTCCCTAAGATTCTCTATGGGGCTGTAAACTTTACAAGGCAGGTCCCCTGGGAACTTCACCTCTATATCCCAGGATGGCGGTGCCTAGTGTTAGACCCTTGCAGAAAGATGTTCACAAAACAACAGCTAAGTTGCATCTTCAGGCATGGGCCAAGTGCTGGCTTTGGTCTCAGACTGAGTTGGAATCTAAGCTCTGCCAATTACTCACTGTGAACCACCAGGCACATTGCTGCTCTTCTTTGTTCCTCAGTTTCCTTTTCTGTTAGATGATGCTAATAATATTTACCTCATGGAGATGTGGACTAAAGTGAGGTAACATTTAAATGCCTAAAAAGTGCCTGGTACATGATAGGCACTTAGTAAACAGTAGTTAGTGTTATTTCGAATCGACATCCTCAACGTATTGGCCCTCAACCCAAGGCGGATTTATTATTAAATTCTGATATCTCGAGAGACATGTGCCAAAAGTGTGTCTTCCATGGCTATTTGTCTATCAGTTTCCAGTTAAATTTCATTTGACTCAGACTGTTTCTCATACAACACTGTCCTGTGCATGTCACTAAAGTATGTGGACACAGAACATATCCCCTAAAACAAAAACCCCCATTTCGAACAGAGGCTAACATTCAGAAAAATGAAGTGAGACAAAGAGAGGGACTTTCTAGAAAGCAGTGCTTGTGGTTGGTTTGTTTTTCTTCTCACAGGTAAAAAGGGAAAAAAGTTAAGACAGGGAAATGTGGATCATGGGAGACTCTGCCAGTTGAGTATGAAAATAAAAAGGAATTCAAAATATTTCATCAGGGAGGATTCTGGGGTTTAATGTAAATTTTGGAAATACAACATGGGTATCTTGGGAGGATAGTATCAACGATTTGGAACCCACAAGAAAAGCTAGGTCAAGAAAAAAGAGAAGCCAGGCTCGGTGGCTCAGCCTGTAATCTCTTGCTTTTGGGAGGCTGAGGTGAGTGGATTGCCTGAGCCTGCGGGTTCGAGACCCGCCTGGGCAACTTGGCGAGACCTCATCTCTACAATAAATCAAAAATCAGCCGGGCATGGTAGCGCACCTGTAGTTCCAGCTACTTGGAAGGCTGAGGTGGAAGGATCACCGGAGTCCAGCAGGTCGAGGCTGCGGTGGCCGGGAGCGGCCACTGCACTCCAGTCTGGGTGACACAGTGAGACTCCCACACACAAAAAAGAAAAAAGAGATAAGTGTTCTTGTCTGGGCAGCAGATGAGAAAGGAAGTATAAGTAGAGGAAGATTTTGAAGTGTGACTGTTGAAACGAGAAGTGGGAAAATGAAGATGATTAGTTTTGAGGGCATGAACTGAAAGTTTGGAAGTAAAAAGAATACCTGTGAATTTAAATCAACTCAGGAAGCAAATAATCAAGGACTAGCAGGGGAGGAGAATGAGAACATATGAGGACGGTGTTATTTAGATTTGGGGTGGGGATGGCAGGCATGCTTGGTGAAAGATTAAAAGGGAGGAAAAAGTGTGTAGGCAAGCACATGTCTCCGATGTACCCTGACTCACTCTGTGTTTATGAAGTAAAATGGAGAGCAGTCTAAAGGGAGGGAGGGGGTTCTTCTAAGTTCAGCTTGAGGTGGTTATACAGTATCCAAATAAGGATGACCTTCAGGTAATTGGGAGAAACTGCCTCAAGGAAGAGAATGTGGAGGCGAAGGATCTGGGAAACCGAAAGGATGAGCTCACCCAGGGAGAACAATGGCAAGTAGAACTGAAGTTCTGAAGAATGGTGAAAGATGAGGGGACAGCCAATAGTTAATTGAAAAGCCAATACATGCATGTTGAATGAGTGAAATAATTGAAGCAAAACATCCAAAAAAACCGTGAGAAGAGACAAGTAAGGATGGCAATGTTTGGAGAGCGCCTGCTACGTAGGGCCAGGAAGAGAAAAGCAAACCAGAAAATCTTCCCAGGCTCCTCAATATGACTTAACCATGTGAGCTGGACTGAAGAAAGTACTCGCCTGCAAAGTGGGGATGACAATTATGGTACCTACTGCACAGGATTCTTGCAAGGGTTAAATAAATTTACACCTGGAAAGCCCATAGAATAGTACCTAGAATCTAACACTATGTAACTGTTTGCTATTACTATAATTGAGCTCAGACTCCAGAATTCTGGGTTTGAGTCCTAACTCTAATTATTATTATTAATTATTATTATTATTATTATTGAGTTGGAGTCTCACTCGGTTGCCCAGACTGGAGTGCAGTGGCCACTCCTTCTGCCTCAGCCTTCCGGGTAGCTGGAATTACAGGTATGCGCTACCATGCCCGGCTGATTTTTTTTTTTTTATTTTATTTATTGTAGAGATGAGGTCTCGCTGCCCAGGCGGGTCTCGAACCCCTGGGCTCAGGCAATCCACTCACCTCAGCCTCCCAAAGGCGCGGGATTACAGGCTGAGCCACCGAGCCTGGCTAATTATTATCTAATTATTTGTGACTGTTTAGGTAAGTCCTTTCACCTATCTTAGTCTCCTTCCCCATCTGAAATCGGAGTTAATAAAGCTGACTTTACAGGATGACTGTGAAAGAAGATACCTGAAAGGGCTTTGAAAAATGTTAAGTATCGTACGAATACATGGTGTTACTACAGGGTCCCCCCACACTCTAATAAATACTTGAAAAATAACATCAGATATTTTCTGTTACAGGCATTGTGCTTAGGTGCTTTATGGGCAAATCCCTCCAATCTGCAAAAACAATTTTAAGAAGTACTGTTATTATCCCTATTTTACAGACAAAAAACGATCTCAGAGAGATGAAGCCTGTGATTCGCTCAAAGTCACACCGGGAGTAGTGGCACAGCAAATAATGCAAGATCCCAAAGTCCAAGTTCGTGAGAAGAGGATTATAGACGTAGCCGAATCTGTTGGCTGGAGGGTGGGGTGGGGTAAATGACTGACCTTGGATATGTATCAGAGATTTAGGGAGGGAAACAAGAGCCCTCAACAAAAATTCCCACTTAGGGGTTGTTGGGTAATGACTGACTTATAAGAAAAATGGCAGAAATAATGGGATTTTTATTTTATTTTTGAATCGAAGTCTCACTGTGTCGCCCAGGCTGGAGTGCAGTGGGACGCTCACGGCCACCGCAGCCTCGACCTGCTGAGTTCAGACGATCTTTCCGCTTCAGCCTTCCAAGTACCTGGAACTACAGGTGCGGGCCACCACGCCCGGCTTTTTTTTTTTTTTTTAATCTATTGTAGAGAGAAGGTCTCACTATGTTTCCCAGGCTGGTCTCGAACTCGAGGGCTCAGGCATTCCTCTCGCCTCGGCCCAAAATGCTGGGATTACAGACCTTGAGCCACTGCGCCCGGCTATTCTTTTATTAAAGACTTTTTTTTTTGGTTTTTTGGTTTTTTGCTTGAGTCGGAGTCTCACTCGGTCACCCAGTCTCACTCTGTCACCCGGCCACCGCAGCCTCGACCTGCTGGGCTCCGGCGATCCTGCCGCCTCAGCCTTCCGAGTAGCCGGAATTACAGGCGCGCGCTCCCACGCCCGGCTGATTTTTGGATTTATGGTAGAGATGAGGTCTCGCTGCCCAGGCGGGTCTCGAACCCGCGGGCTCAGGCACTCAGCTCACCTCAGCCTCCCCAGGGCGCGGGATTACAGGCTGAGCCACCGAGCCCGGCAAGACTTTTTTTTAAAAATGCCTTCTATGTGCCCAGCACTGTCAGGTGGAGAATGACGGCTTCAGCGCAGCCTCCGACAGTCTGTTTTCCTCCGCTTTCCCCACCCGTTGGTCTTCTCCTGCCCCAAACGAGGTTTTGTTCATTGCCCCGCTTCCTGGCTTCAGGTCCAGGCCACGCTGGGACCCAGAGAGTGAGTCCTCCCCTCCCTTCCTGGATATGCTTCCCTTCCTGGGCTGTAGGGGAGCACGAACACCGGGGAGAGATCGCTCCACCAACGCTGACCGACGAAATTGGGTCCCTCGGCGTGTCCCGGCCCCCGAGGGGGCGTGACCGCCACGCCCTCTAACCCCCTCCCGCCGGCTTTGCGGACAATGACGGTCGCCGCCCCGCCCACCTCTGGCGTCGTGAGCCAAACAATCCTTGACTACAACTCCCCGAAGGCTGAGCGGCGGACCGACTGCAAAACTACACATCCCAAGACACATCGCGCGACCGCGTCGCCTTTTAGTGCGCAAGCGCGGAGCCGTGTTTGTTTCCGGCGTGCGCCTGGCTGAGCCTCGCTCGTGCTCTGGTTTGGGTCCTGCTGGGGGGGACTTCTGGGTTTGCCGGTTGGGCTCGTGGCTGTTCAGGTGAGATAAGCTCAGGCACGCGACTGTCGCTTCCTTCGAGGCCTGGGCAGATTTCGGTGTCTGGGGAGGATGGGACAAATGTACCCAGAGCTGCAGTCCCGGATGGAAAAGAATTCTTCCCCTTTCCTTGTCGTTTTCTAGTGTACGAAGTACTTTTTTCAAAAACTTCCACAGTTCTTGTTTATCTCCGGGACAATCCTGTATGTGAGGAAGTGTAGCTGTCTCGTTGACAGCTTCAAGGGTTCAGTGAGGTTAAGAGGTTGTCTAAAAATACTACCAATAGTTGCCGAGACGGGACTTAGGATGTTGTCTAAGTTCAAACCCGGTGTCCCCTGCTTTGCTTCCATATTGCAGATGCCTTTTCTTGTTGACTAAGAAGGTTTAGGTGGGGGACACGTATTACATTCTTAAGTCTGGAGTTTACCCATAGAGTGATGAAGGGAAGGACGAAGGTGATACAATCAAGTCTATTGTCAGTCTGTGGGTATAGTTTTCCTCTCTGTCTGAGACCTTTACCTGTATTCACTCAGCGTATTCACTGAGGTGCCTGTAGTTTGTCTGTTGTAGGCACTAGAGATATGGTAACAAGCAAAAATACCCAACCTTTTCATCCTCTGGGGGAGACAGATAAGAAACAAATATACAGTGAAACAATGGTGATAAATACGGAGAAAATTAAAGCAAGGTAGAGGGAAACACCCGTTGGAGGATTTGAGGACTGACTTATGATTGGGTCTGATATTTGTGTTCTAGTGACAGCAGCTACACAGAAAAGATGGGAGAGGAGGCTGGCGATGACAAGAAGCCAACGACTAAATTCGAACTAGAGCGAGAAACAGAACTTCGCTTTGAGGTGGAAGCTTCTCAGTCAGTTCAGCTGGAGTTGTTGGCTGGCATGGCAGAGATCTTTGGCACGGAGCTGACCCGAAACAAGAAATTCACCTTTGATGCTGGTGCCAAGGTGGCTGTTTTCACTTGGCATGGCTGTTCTGTGCAACTGAGTGGCCGTACCGAGGTGGCTTACGTCTCCAAGGACACACCTATGTTGCTTTACCTCAACACTCACACGGCCTTGGAGCAGATGCGGAGGCAAGCAGAAAAGGAAGAAGAACGAGGCCCCCGAGTGATGGTGGTGGGCCCCACCGACGTGGGCAAGTCCACAGTGTGTCGCCTGCTGCTCAACTATGCAGTGCGTTTGGGCCGCCGTCCCACCTATGTGGAGCTGGATGTGGGCCAGGGCTCTGTGTCCATCCCTGGTACCATGGGGGCCCTGTACATTGAACGGCCTGCAGATGTTGAAGAGGGTTTCTCTATCCAGGCCCCTCTGGTTTATCATTTTGGTTCCACCACTCCTGGCACCAACATCAAGCTTTATAATAAGGTGAGAGCCAGAGCAAGGTAGAATGGAGGGATCACTTGCTATCAGGGTAGAAAGCTGTAGGATAGTTTGCTCGTTAAAACTGCCTGTGGTTTGTTTTCCTCTCAGGTGGTATTCCTGCCACATTCTTTCAGAAAAGGCAATTTTGAATATGTCAACCTCAGATTGTTAAACATTTCTGTGAATCTGTTCTTGGTAATGTATTAGATTGCCACTAAGGATATAAAACAGGAGACAGAAGAAGCAACATAATTAAATCCACGTTATGAGGTCAAAACCACAGCAATTGAAAATGCCATTTTTCTTGTATCTAAACCGCTCATTCTAAAGAGGGACAAAATAGCCACAGGTTTGTCTGTTTTTGCTGCTGTTGTTCTTACCTTGGTCCTTTCTTTTGCAGATTACATCCCGTTTAGCAGATGTGTTCAATCAAAGGTGTGAGGTGAACCGAAGGGCCTCTGTGTCTGGCTGTGTTATTAACACCTGTGGCTGGGTCAAGGGCTCTGGTTATCAGGCCCTGGTGCATGCAGCCTCAGCTTTTGAGGTGGATGTGGTCGTGGTTCTGGATCAAGAACGACTGTACAATGAATTGAAACGGGACCTGCCCCACTTTGTACGCACTGTGCTGCTTCCTAAATCAGGGGGTGTGGTGGAGCGCTCCAAGGACTTCCGGCGGGAATGTAGGGATGAGCGTATTCGTGAGTATTTCTATGGATTCCGAGGCTGTTTCTATCCCCATGCCTTCAATGTCAAATTTTCAGATGTGAAAATCTACAAAGTTGGGGCACCCACCATCCCAGACTCCTGTTTGCCTTTGGGCATGTCTCAGGAGGACAATCAGCTTAAATTAGTACCTGTCACCCCTGGCCGTGATATGGTGCACCATCTACTGAGTGTTAGCACTGCTGAGGGTACAGAGGAGAACCTTTCCGAGACAAGTGTGGCTGGCTTCATTGTGGTGACCAGCGTGGACCTAGAGCATCAAGTGTTTACTGTCCTGTCTCCAGCCCCTCGCCCACTGCCTAAGAACTTTCTTCTCATCATGGATATCCGGTTCATGGACCTTAAGTAGAGATCAGCAGAACACCTTGCTGCCTGGGATGTAGAGATCTGGCCATCACCAGAGGCAGCTTGGCTGAGATACAAGAATCTATTGAGGCCAGCTGATCAGTAAACTGTGGGCTAGTAGAAAGCATGTGTTCTACCTCTAAGAGCAGGTAGTGGTAACCTGACTCTTCTAATCTTGAACCCAAAGGAAAACCATGAGACTGTAATTGGTTTCTTAGATCACCTGAGTTGCCACTTTGAATTTTCTGAGCCGCTGGAGAATTTCATTTCTTTCACTGTGCTATGTGGTTTTTAAAATCACTGCTTTGTATTCTGTATATAATACTGGCTATTTCATTTATCCAGGATGAACGTTAAATAGAGGGACTCCTTCCAAAAAAGTTCAAACTTAAAAATTTTTTATTTTAATAAATATTTTTACCATACTACATAAGTTGGTGTAATTTTTTTAAATGTACTTCTTTCCTCTGAGCATTATAGGAACATTGTTGGAATCATTTATTGCTAAAATACTTAAAGGGCAGGAAAACAACCTACCTGTGAGCCAAGACAGTGAATTTTTATGATGCTTCCCCTTTCCTCTGTACTTAGGTAGATAGATGGTAAATCTGTTATCAGTGCTGAGTTTACTGTGGGGAGTTGAAAAGGCTAGTGAAAATCTTGGGATAAGATTTCAGATCAGGCTGGGTTCAGTGGCTCAGTTTATAATCCCAGCACTCTGGAAGGCCGAGGCAAGTGGATTGCCTGAGCCCGCGGGTTCGCGACCAGCCCAGGCAACTTGGTGAGACCTCGTCTCTACAATAAATCAAAAATTAGCCAGGCATGGTAACATGTGCCTGTAGTTCTGGCTACTTGGAAGGCTGAGGCAGAAGAATAGCTGGAGCCCAGCAACCTGTGAATGTGCCACTGCACTCCAGCCTGGGCAATGGAGTGAGACTCCAACATAAAAAAAGAAAAAAAGATTATGACCAGGCTCGGTGTGGCTCAGCCTGTAATCCCACGCTTTCGGAGACTGAGGTGAGTGGATTGCCTGAGCCCGCGGGTTCAAGACCCGCCTGGGCAACTTGGTGAGACCTCATCTCTACAATAAATCAAAAAATTAGCCGGGTGTGGTAGCTCACGCCTGTAGTTCCAGCTACTTGGAAGGCTGAGGCGGAAGGATTGTCGGAGCCCAGCAGGTCGAGGCTGCGGTGGCCAGGAGCGGCCACTGCCCTCCAGTCTGGGCGACAGAGACTCCAACTCAAAAAAGAAGAAGAAAAAAGATTTTGGATCTAATCATCTTCCAGAAGTAGCTGATTTTCTCTCTGGTGCAGCTATCTTTCTTGTCTATTTTGTTGGAACTAGGTCCTAAGGAACAGTGTAGCCTCAGCTTTCAGGTGGTAAGAAGGTGGGAAAGCCCATTCTTTTTGATCTGCAAATGATTGGTGTCACACCTATAATCCCAACACTTTGGAAGGCCAAGGTGGGAGAATTGCTTGAGCTCAGAAGTTTTTTTTTCTTTTTTTTTTTTTGAGTTGGAGTCTGTTGCCCAGGCTGGAAAGTAGTGGCACACTCACGACCATGGCAGCCTCCACCTCCTGGGCTCAGGCGATCCTTCCACCTCGGCCTTCCAGGTAGCTGGAACTACAAGCGTGCGCTACCATGCCTGGCTAATTTGATTTACTGTAGGGGTGAGGTCTTACCAAGTTGCCCAGGCTGGTCTCAAATCCCTGAACTCAGGCAATCCTCTCACCTCAGCCTCCCACAGTGCTGGGTGTTTATAGACTTGAGCTACCGTGCCTAGCTGAGCTCAGAAGTTTGAGACTAGCCTGGTCAACATAGCAAAACCCTGTTTCTTTCTTTTTTTTTTTTGAGTTGGAGTCTCACTTTGTTGCCCAGACTGGAGTGCAGTGGCATGCTACCGGCCACTGCAGCCTCGACCTGTTGGGCTCCGGCGATGCTTCTGCCTCAGCCTTCCAAGTAGCTGGAATTACAGGCGTGTGCTACCACGCCCGGCTAATTTTTTGATTTATTGTAGAGATGAGGTCTTGCCAAGTTGCCCAGGCGGGTCTTGAACCCGCGTGCTCAGGCAGTCCACTCACCTCAGCCTCCCAAAGCGCAGGATTACAGGCTGAGCCACCGAGCCCGGCTGCAAAACTCTGTTTCTAACAAAATAATGTTGGCATGGTGGTGCATGCGTGTAGTCCCAGCTACTTAGGAAGCTGAAGTGGAAGGATTGTCTGGGCCCAGGAGTTTGAGGCTGCGGTGAGCTGTGATCATACCACTGTACTCTAGCCTGGATGACAGATTTAGACCCCAACTCAAAAAATAAATAAATTAAGCTGGGCTCGGTGGCTCAGCCTGTAATCCCGCGCCTTTGGGAGGCTGAGGTGAGTGGACTGCCTGAGCACGCGGGTTCAAGACCCGCCTGGGCAACTTGGCAAGACCTCATCTCCACAATAAATCAAAAAAATAAATAAATAAGCTGGGCGTGATTGCGCGTGCCTGTAATTCTAGCTACTCGGAAGGCTGAGGTGGAAGGATCACTGGAGCCCAGCAGGCCGAGGCTGCGGTGGCCAGGAGCATGCCACTGCCCTCCAGCCTGGGTGACAGAGTGAGACTCCAACTCAAAAAAAAAACAAAAACAAAAATAAATAAATAAGCTGGGTATGGTGGTATGCGCCTGTAGTTCCAGCTACTTGGAAGGCTGAGGCAGAGGGATCGTCTGAGCCCAGCAGGTAGAGGCTGCAGTGGCTGTGAGCATGCCACTGCACTGCAGCCTGGGTGAGAATGAGACTCCGACTCAAAAACAAACAAAAAATATGCCATTCATCCATTCCTTTTTTCCACAAATATTTACTGAGCACCTGTTGTTTGCCATGAACATTCTAGATGGGGAACAAGATAGACAAAGTTTTATGGAACTTACATTATATAATGTACAAATTATAAAAGGTAAATACTGGCTAGGCTTAGTGGCTGACGCCTGTAATCTCAGTACTTTGGGAGGCTGAGTCAGGAGGATCACTTGAGGTCAAGAGTTTGAGGCTGCAGTGAGCTATTGTGCCACTGCACTCCAGCCTGTTCAGCAGAGAGAGACCCTGTTTCTAAAAAAAAAAAAATGCTATACAGAGACTTGAGGGATATGAGACAGAGTGTCTGAAGACTACTTTAGATTGGGTAGTTAGGAAAGACCCTTCCTGAGCACACATTTTCAGCTAAGACCTGAATGTGAAGTCAGGCAAAACCCTAGTACAGGAACAAGCTTGATGAATTTGGTGAAGAGAAAAGCCAATGTGGTAGGAGTGTCAAGGGAGAGTGGTTAATGAGGCTGGAAGGCACAGCGAAGACCAGATGATTTAAGGCTTTTGTAAGTCAGGTAAATAATTTCTTTTTTATTTAATAGCTGGGGCTCACTATGTTGCCCAGGCTGGCCTCATTTCTGGGCTCAAGTGATTTACCTGCCTCAGTCTCCCAAGTAGCTGGGACTATATAGGCTTATGCCACCATGCCTGATTTGAGAATGAATTTTTACTTATGTATGTATGTATTTTTCAGTGAGTCTCACTCCGTCACTCAGGCTGGAGTGTAGTGGCATATTATGGCTACTGCAGCCTCGACCTGCTGGGCTCCGGTGATCCTTCTGCCTCAGCCTTCCAGGTAGCTGGAATGATAGGCATGCACCACCATGCCCGGCTAATTTTTTAATTTATTGTAGAGAATGAGGTCTCGCCAAGTTGCCCAGGCTGGTCTCTAACCTGTGTTGCGGGCAATCCTCTTGCCTCAGCCTCCCAAAGTGCTGGGATTACAAGTGTGAATCACTGCACCCAGTTAAATTTTATTCTAAAAGCAGTGGGAAATCACAGAGCAGGGATGGTTAAGGAGATAAATGACTTGATCTACTATACATTTTGAAAAGACCTCTGCTTTGTGGAGAGTGGATTATAGGGGCACACTTGGAAGCAAGGACACAAATTAGGAGATGGTGGTAATCTCGAGGTAGAATTGATGGGGGATTGCAGACTAGGGAAGCAGCGGTGCAGCTGGTGATAGTTTGCTTTGGGATAGTTTGAAGGTAAGATGGGTGGGACTTCCTGATGGGAGCGGTAAAGAAAAGAAAATGGAATCAAGGGTGATTCCTAGATTATTTTTTTAACTAGAGAAACTAGATTGGCTATGATATAGACGAGATATAATAGCTCAGCAGTGCTAACCCTCAACTATTAGTTTTCCATATGGAGAGATCACATAGGCAGTGGGAAATATGAACCTGGAAAGTTCACAAGAGCCAGCGGTCTATAGAAGGCTTTCAAGCAGTGATACTGGATGAAGTAGTTTAGGGACTGTGTACATTGTGACTGTGTAAATGGAGGTGAGAAGGAAGCAAAGGATGGAACTGCAGGGCACTCCTAATGTAAGAGGTCAAACAATGGAAACTAGTAAAGGAGATGTGATTATCACTTTAGAAGCATGGATCTCAGTATTGACCTCGAACAGTGTAGTCTTGAAATGGTGAGGATAGGCTGGGCATGGTGGCTCAATCTTGTAATCTAGCATTTGGGAGGGTGAGGTGTGAAAGGTTCGCCAGAGTCCAGGGGCTCAAGAACAGCCTGGAAAACTTGGTGAGACCTTGTCTTTACAATAAATAAAAAAATCAGCAGGGTATGGTGGCAGCACCTGTAGTTCCAGCTACTTGGAAGGTTGAGGCAGAAGGATCACCTGAGCCCAGGAGGTCCAGGCTGCAGTAGATGTGAGCATGCCACTGCACTCCAGCCTGGGCGACAGAGTGAGACTCCATCTCAAAAAAAAAAAAACAAGAAAAAGAAAAGAAAAGAAATGGTGAGACTACAAGCCTTGCAAATATAGACTGAAGATATAAACTGAGGGAGTAAAGGTAACAAGTATAGAAGGCTTTTTTTCAGAAGTTTTGCTAAGGACATGGGGGGTGTAAGGTGGTTGGTGGTTATAGTGAAGGTGGCTTTGTTAGTTTTTTAGATAAGATGATGCCTCTCATCAGACTCTAGAGGGAAAGAGATTAACGATGGGTATGTGTCAAATAAAATGTAAAAAAAGCCGGGCTCGGTGGCTCAGCCTGTAATCCCGTGCCTTTGGGAGGCTGAGGTGA